TACTGGAGTGCCCTTGTGGCCTCCAGTATGTAGGCATGACTATAAGAAGCTTGAAAATTAGACTGAGTGAACTCAGCAGAAACATCAAAAAGGGATACTTAAATCACTCAGTCTCTAAACATTTCTGTATACATTTCTGTATACATAACAATGATACAAAATCACTCAAGTTCACTGTGTCACTCCCTGGGGAAGTGGAAATATTAAAAATATTCTAGGTAAAACCTAGATGGAATGGGTATTTAATTTAAAAACCCTAGTTTCCCACGCACTTAACACACACTTTGATCTGTTTTATTTTATCTAATTTTATATATCTTTGTTTATACATTTTTTATTACTGTATCTGTGTTTATTTTTTATAAACATCATCTTACGTATTATTTAATTTATAGTATTATTGTGTTCCAGTGTTTCTATGCTCTTACATATATTACTATTATTGTGTTTAAGTTTTTGTATGCTTGCCAACTCTTCCCCCCACTTCCTGTGTAATCACCTATTAAGCTCACTATTCACTTGAGCTGTTCTATTTTGACTGGCGTAGCCAACCACAACATGGCTTCCGACACCAGCCAATCTTTTTCCAGCCGGCCGCACATGCCCAGTCTGCGGCAGGCTAATACTTTAGCTCCATACGATCAGAGCTCTATTTAGGCTGATCGCGTGTTTACCTGCCCCTCCTACACAGCCGACTGCGCATGTCTCACATGCGGCCGGCTGTTGCCTACTGGGCGGACGCAAAGTGTTTACACACACCCCTTGCTTAGTCCGGCCCCTCTCCCCTATGCTTATCGGCAATAAACTACTCTACCCATGATACCTTTTGACACACAGTATTTCTGTGTCACACGGCTAACTTTTTTCTTAAATTCCTATGCATTCAATGCTCGTTTTTTTGAAGATACTTATAGACATAGTATCTTCTATCCTTATATATATCATTTTAACTATATCATTTCCATTTATGTTTGATATATTCTTTATATATTATTTTCTGATTGGCTAATTGAATTTTAATTACGCTCTACGCCTAAATAAATCCAGTATTCCAGGCTGTTATCTCTATTCCATTTGAAGAAGCCACATATGGTGAAGCGCGTTATGGTTATTTTAAATTGTGTATTTTATCAATAAAATTCTTTTGGTCACTTGAGTTGTGCCAATTTTCTTTTTATTGTATTTTATATACACTTTTTTTTATTTTTCCCTGGCATTTTACTGTTCCTGTACTCAAAGCAATCTGGGGTGGGGATCATACCACCAACGCTTTACCAGTAGAGCAGTGTTTCCTGCTCTAGACTTGTGAGTATACTTTTATTTATTTTATACTACATTTTAATGAGAGCACTATTGTTGCCTTTTTATCCTCTCTTGGAGCCCTGGATATCCAGACTGTATTGACGTACGCACTTCTTCTGCATATCCCATAAGCGGGGATTATACCGCTGTACGCCCTCTACACATAGCTCTTTTAAATGTGAGTGTATTCCATCTGTGTGTGTGTATATATATATCTCATTTCTGGATTTTGACTTATTGCACTATAAATAAACACTGCTCAAAAAAATAAAGGGAACACAAAAATAACACATCCTAGATCTGAATGAATTAAATATTCTTCTGAAATACTTTGTTCTTTACATAGTTGAATGTGCTGACAACAAAATCCCACAAAAATTAAAAAATGGAAATCAAATTTTTCAACCCATGGAGGTCTGGATTTGGAGTCACACTCAAAATTAAAGTGGAAAAACACACTACAGGCTGATCCAACTTTGATGTAATGTCCTTAAAACCAAGTCAAAATGAGGCTCAGTAGTGTGTGTGGCCTCCACGTGCCTGTATGACCTCCCTACAATGCCTGTGCATGCTCCTGATGAGGTGGCGGATGGTCTCCTGAGTGCATCTAAAGCATCTGCCAACTCCTGGACAGTCTGTGGTGCAAGATGACGTTGGTGGATGGAGCATGACATGATGTCCCAGATGTGCTCAATTGCATTCAGGTCTTGGGAATGGGCAGGCCAGTCCATAGCATCAATGTCTTCATCTTGCAGGAACTGCTGATACACTCCAGCCACATGAGGTCTAGCATTGTCTTTCATTAGAAGGAACCCAGGGCCAACCGCACCAGCATATGGTCTCACAAGGGGTCTGAGGATCTCATCTCGGTACCTAATGGCAGTCAGGCTACCTCTGGCGAGCACATGGAGGGCCGCCCCAAAGAAATGCCACCACACACCATTACTGACCCACTGCCAAACCGGTCATGCTGGAGGATGTTGCAGGCAGGAGAAAGTTCTCCACGGCGTCTCCAGACTCTGTCACGTCTGTCACATGTGCTCAGTGTGAACCTGCTTTCATCTGTGAAGAGCACAGGGCGCCAGTGGCGAATTTGACAATCTTGGTGTTCTCTGGCAAATGCCAAACGTCCTGCACGGTGTTGGGCTGTAAGCACAACCCCCACCTGTGGACGTCGGGCCCTCATACCACCCTCATGGAGTCTGTTTCTGACCGTTTGAGCAGACACATGCACATTTGTGGCCTGCTGGAGGTCATTTTGCAGGGCTCTGGCAGTGCTCCTTCTGTTGCTCCTTGCACAAAGGTGGAGGTAGTGGTCCTGCTGCTGGGTTGTTGTCCTCCTTGTACCTCCTGATGTACTGGCCTGTCTCCTGGTAGCACGTCCACGCTGACAGACACAGCAAACATTTTTGCCACAGCTCGCATTGATGTGCCATCCTGGATGAGCTGCACTACCTGAGCCACTTGTGTGGGTTGTAGACTCCGTCTCATGCTACCACTAGTGTGAAAGCACTAGAGTGAAAGCACCGCCAGCATTCAAAAGTGACCAAAACATCAGCCAGGAAGCATAGCAACTGAGAAGTGGTCTGTGGTCACCACCTGCAGAACAACTGCTTTATTGGGGGTGTCTTGCTAATTGCCTATAATTTCCACCTGTTGTCTATCCCATTTGCACAACAGCATGTGAAACTGATTGTCACTCGGTGTTGCTTCCTAAGTGGACAGTTTGATTTCACAGAAGTGTGATTGACTTGGAGTTACATTGTGTTGTTAAGTGTTCCCTTTATTTTTTTGCAGTGTATATACATATTGTTAGTATAGTAATATAAATATTGTTAATAAACTGAAGACAAAATCAAATAATAATGAAAATCAACCAAAAGCAAGCATTTTTAATTAGTAGAAAGAAACCGAGGCTTGTCTGATGGTGGGAGCGGACCTCCCACAGCTTCTTATCTGGGTGCCAAAGCCACATAGACCCCAAATTAAAGTCACCTGCCCAGCCATTCTTAATTCCATCAGGTTATGGGACACCATGGCACATAAATATTGTAACGGACCGTTTTGCACACAAGGGGTAAAAAACGTTTAGGCGATCGGCCCCCTTTCCAGAGATACAGGCACAGCTACTGCAGAACACCAAACTCCCGAACTGGATACAAAATAGCACTCCAACTCCCGAACTGGAACCTCCCAAATGGCTGCTAGCAGACGAACAGGAAAAGCAGACAATCAGCTTACACTCCTGGCAATCAGTCTCTAACAGCATACAGTGAATCCCCCCAAGAACGAGACAAGGCTCTGTGTTGAGGGTCAAGCAGTGGTCTGAGGTGCTGGCACACCCAGCCTGGTTTTTATTACAGTCTTGCAAATACAGGACCGCCCACAGGGAGGTATAAAACAACCAATCACATCACAGTTACATCCCACATATTCCCTCCCCTTATCCTGAGAGGAAACAATTATACATACAGTTAAAACATACTTTCTACCCAACTTTCATAACTCTAAAACCATACATCACATTCACATAAAATTACATATTCACAATCAATCCATTCAGGGGAACAACATATTCAAAAATGGCACAAATCAGACAAGGGGTTCAAAAGTTAGTAAAAGTCCTTTGTGACTAAATGAAGCATGGCTTTCTGGCCCAAACCAGTTTCAGAGTCTTCTATCCTGGAGATAAGTAATTCAATTATCTCCCAGGACAGACACAAGACTCCATTAAGCACATGGTTGCAAAGAGACACAAAACACTTTAAAATACATAAAGTCACCTTTATACATAAAACACAGACATTTCACATATCCCCAGATAGCTCAGGTCTGAGCGCACATTATTAAGTGAATGGCGCTCAGACCACACGAATACAGTTTAATCGCCATGGAGCCAAAGTCTTTACAGTCAGTTTCATACAAATGGGCTCCATGGGATTCCTATCTGGGGTATAACACATTCAAACAAATCTACCGAACCCCAGGCAGAAAAGCACGAATTAAACTTTTCTGCAGGTAAAAAAAGATGTCTTTTAACAGGGGGCCATAGTCCAAAGGCAGCAGGCGAGCAACCAGGCTTCTCCAATGCAATGTGGCGAGATTGGTCTCGTCACAAATATGAATTAGCCTCAGACCCTTCCCCCCTTATGCCATATCTCCGGAACAAGGAATTCCCTCCAGGCATGGCGGCCAGAGATTACCGGAATTTGGAGAGGGTAGGGTTCCAACGGATATGCCAGTTATTCCAGGTTGCAGATTTCCTCCTGTTCGATGCCCTACGACAAGAAGGGCACCTTACTCCAGCGGACTTTTTCCGCTACCTCCAAGTCAAAGATTATGCTAAGCAGCCCCATATACAGGCAGCGGCACAACAGACGATGACATTCTTTGAACGCATTTGCATACAGGAACGGATGCCCAAGGGCCTGATAACGATCTTATATAAGCATCTATCATTAGAAACTAAGGAATGGGGCAGCCTTAAATATATAACCCAATGGGAAAGAGATCTGGGGGAAGAACTAGAGGGAGTAGAATGGCAAGAAATATGGCAGGCCAATCATACCTCTTCGATATGTGTCACCATGCAAGAGCAATCCATGAAAACAATGCTCCGGTGGTACACCACCCCCACCCAGCTGTACCATATGAAGAAGACTCCCACGGACCCTTGCTGGAGGGGGTGTGGTATCAGGGGAACATATAGGCATATGTGGTGGGACTGTCCGGTGATACACAACTTCTGGACGCAGGTTAGAGGAATGATAACCCAAGTCTTTGCCCGAGCCCCAGAGCTAGACCCATGGGTTTACTTATTAAGCAGATCGTTAGAGGGGTGGACCCGGAGGGAACAAAAACTCCTCCATAAAATTACATTGGCAGCACGGCGTGCCATTGCTGCAAGCTGGCTAAAACAAACGGCCCCCACGACACAAGAGGTTCTCAATAGAATTAAGGAAGTGCACCTGATGGATGACCTAACCGCCCGAATAAGGGATACCCACCAGTCCTTTCTGAGGATCTGGGAACCATGGGAGAATTCCCCACTAGGAATGTAGCGTGAGAAGAGGAATGTGGCCTCTCATCCCCTGCTGCCCCCTTCCCCCGCTCCCCCCGCCCCCCTGTCTTGTTCTTTTCCTACCAATTTGTCACCTTACCTTTCTATCTCTCTGTCTCCTACACACCAACTGCTTCGTTACCTTGCTTCCATGGGGTGCACTGGGCAGATAGGGGGAGTTGATGTTTCCCGTTGACTCTACCGCAGGGACACTAGTAAGCTTTCTCTAGAACATGATAGGGGTAGTCCGGGAGAAGTAGAGAATGCCATAACGTAGGCAAAGGGGTGGCCACGGTCATGAATGAAAGACCACTAATGGGGTATAGCCAACCAGTGAGCTGTCCTACTGGGGGGACTGGGCGGGAGAGATATCAATGGAGGGCCCATCGCCCGGGCGGAGCAGACTAGCTTACGTTTCGGGAATTGGAGACAATATCTATTCTTTCTTTGTTTGTTTTGTTTCTGTAAGTTTATCTTGTGTTTGGTTAAAACAAGAAAACTGGCATTGGCAAGGAAAGTGAAAGCGGAAGAACCGAGGGGACTCATGAGCAATTCACAGACTCGGAGCTATGCACAGTGGGGTATAAGAGAGGAGAGGCGATCTGCCCTAGGGTGGATGGTGGGATTGGCATGGGATGTGAATGTTATGTCTGTAACGGAAATGATTGTTACCTCTGAAAGTCAGCATGCTCTGTCAATGCTAACAGTTAAAATAAAGAATAAAAAAAAAAAAAAAAGAAACCGAGGCCTGGACCGTGTAATGAGGAACCACGGTGAATAAATAGACCTGGCTCTGGGATTGGCTGATGGCGCCCAGAGGGAGATTTTGACCGGGTTATTTAAACTGTAGGTTTACATTGTAGAAGATCTGTATTTAGATGACTGCACACTGCCATGCAGTGGGACTTCCTCAGGGGCAGCAATCAGTTTGTTTTGTCCTGAGTTAAAATAAAATAAAGTATTGTATGTCAGTTACATTTGGAACTGGTTGTCCTGTGTGGGTTTTTAGGGATCCCAGTTACAGAGTCTTCAGACCTGTTGGCTGGCTGCACTATCCCTCCAGCCCTGGGACAAACCAAGAGAGCTAGGCCTGAGAGCTGCAAGTGCCTTTGTAAAGGCAATAGCAATCACTGTAGGCAGAGGGGACAATACCAGTCTGGAAGGAAAGCTGCAGAGGAATAGGCAGAGGGGATGATACCTGCCTGGAAGGAGAGCTGCACCCTCTTCAGGTGGAAAAGCTCCAGAAGGATCTCAGTCAAGCTGCGGCAACTGGGTCAGAAGCTCTTCAGGTTTTCCGGTTCCATTTAGGAAACAAGCTTGGCAGAGGTACCCAACAGGGAACTCCGGCACATTTGGTGCTAGCAGTGGGATGGCTTCCTAGAAAATTTGGAGACCAGTATATCTTCGGGGACACCCACCTTCTGGAAGTAGGGATATGGATGTCATTTGCCCATTGTACAGTATCCTACTTCGATGCAAAACTCCAGGAAGTTCTGGGCCAGAAGGATGACCCTATCCCAGCAGAGAAGGTGGTGCTCTGATCTGATCTCTGGAAGGACGAACTAGAAGAAATTTGACCGTTCCAGAGCGAATCCCCACCACCGACCAGCGTTGATGAGAACTGGAGTTAAGGAGGCAGTTCCTGGGAGAACAACCCTTGGATGAATGGGAAATGGAACTGGAGATGCTTGTTATGACCGAAGTGTGGTTGGATGAGTCATACCGGGCATTACTACGATGGCCCTGGTCTTTTGTGGGAGGATTTTGAGGATGTTATGGAATTCGAAAACCCAGACGGTTCTCGCTTCTGGTGCATTTGAGATGAACGGAAAGACCTTTTTGACCTTTCAGAGATCACAGAGCTGCAGCTGGATCTGACTTTTCTGGATAACCTGGAGTTTGAGCTCTAACAGGACTATGTACACCTGTTTCATCATAGAATGCTGATAATATCAGAGTTTATGGAGTTTATAGACTTTGCAACCATGGAAGAGGAGAGTATCATTGGCTGGCTGCTCTAGCCCTGCGATAAATCAATAGAGCGAGGCCTGAGGGACGCAAGTGCCTTTATAAAGGCAATAGCAATCACTGTAAGCAGAGCTGCAGAGGAATAGGCAGAGGGCACAATATCTGCCTGGAAGGAAATCTGCAGAGGTACAGGTAGAGGAGACGATACCTGCCTAGAAAAAAGGCTGCAGTGGAATAGGCAGAGAGGGCAATACCTGCCTGGAAGAAGGGCTAGTCAGATGGAAAAGTTCAAGAAGGACTCCAGTCAAGCTGCGGTGACTTCACAAGTACTTCAGGTTTCCCGGTTCCAGCTAGGAAGCAAGCCTGGCAGAGGTACCCAGAGCTGTATTGCACTATGCATTTCCTCCATTCTTGATGATTCTGTGGACTCATCATCTTCTGAAGCATCAGGGTGTAACAACATTGCTCGTCACACCACTATGGACATCTCAATCATAGTTCCCAGCTTCTACTGGAGTTGTCCTGCAACGTTCCTCTCGTTTTTCCTCACTCACAATCCTAATGCGTTAGTTTTACATGATCATCTGTCCCCGGTGGCCTGGATGGTTTCTGGGGATCGTGGCATGTGCCAGGCCTATCATGAATGGCTCGGTATTTGCTCTGGGACTCCTGGTCTCAGTTCACCAGAACATGGAGATCATGAAGTAGCTGGTTCCTGAAAGGGGTTTGGATTCCCTTACTACCTCTGTCATGGTAATTTTCAATTTTATCTCAATGGAAGTCTTACAGGACTCCAGTTGTTACTCCTCCTTTTGGAACTTTCTACGGTCCTTCAGTTTTTGGAAAGATGGATGGATAATGACTTCCTGTCTTTGAGTCAACTATCGGCAAAACTGGCTTATCTCCTCTATCTCAGTGTTGAATACTAGAGCTTTCGACTGACTCTTTACATTTTGTCAGACAGGGTGTCTTTCACAATTTCTCGCAGAACTAAGTTTAATTCTTCTTTGGTATCTTCTGTATAGATTTCAACTTTGTGTATCTCACGTCCTTCAGTGTTACATCTTGTCGACTTTGTCTTTCCAGACTTCTTCACGCGGTCAGTTTTTAATCTTATATAAACAACCTTTTAAACTGATTTCGTCTCCTATGGCAGGGTAATGGGTCAAATGGATTCTTCAGCTTGCAGATGTGGAAAGATCTTTTGGTGCGAGGTACCATGGCATTGGCTGCCATGGACTTGGGAGGTTTGTTATCCGAGATTTTGTCTGCGGCAGATTGGTCTCAGGAATCTACTATCTGGGTCTTTTTTTCGGTCCTTGCTTTCATGCTTTTTATGCTTTACTTTCTAGGTGTTAAATATGAAGATCCCTGTCTTGCTGTAAAATTGAGGATTATTCTATCTTTGAAATAATAATCTAAAGTTTATTAAAGACAGGAGGCAAATAAACCCCCCCGACCCCCCATTTTTTTCTTTATCTCTTCATGTCTTTAGGGTTGTTTATGCTAATGTGTTTTATTTTGGGAATTACGGTTTCATTATTTGCCACAAATGTGCATATTTAAATAAACAGACTGTTTTAATGTTGTTGCGACAGCTTGATCATATGGTATGGCGCTTTTTTAAATCATAATGATAACGGAAATCACCCAAATGGCCCTGATCGAAAGTTTACAATTGAATGTTTGGCTTTGTTACAGACACACAAGTTTACACGCACGTTAGAATGACAATTTGTCAGGGTCATACTTGCACACCTTAGTAGTTTAACACAAACCGAGGAGATTCTAAGAAGAAATCTCCAAGGTTGTGAAACAATGCACTGGGGCTTTGATGGAAAAGTACTCCTGGATACGCAGAACAGACAAGGGAAATCCAATAGAGTAGTCAGGTACAGTTCCAATGGTCAGGGCAGGCGGAAATCAGGCAAATACGATAAACAGTTCCAAAGGTCAAAGCAGGAGTCAGATGAACTAAGCAGTTTTCAAGACAGGAACAAAACGAACTGACAAGGAGGAAGTGGCAAGGCAGGGCTTATAAAGGCAGTTAATTAGCCACTCAATCAGGAACCATGAGCAGGAGTGAAGCAGTCCAGGCCCAGAGACGCAGACATCACAGGATGAGAATAGAACCAGAAATAACAAGAGAAGTGACAACAGGGTAAGGTCACCGACTGGGACGCAGAGGACCCAGGTTCAATCTCAGCCAGGCCCTGTGAAGTGACAACCATGCCTGGCAGTCTGCCTTGCATGGTGCGAACCCAGACACAATTAAAGATTACTTTCCCACACATGTGGCTTTTTAAATTGCAATTGGTGTCTGTGTATAAATAGTCAAAGAGTTTGTTAGCTCTCATGTGGATGCACAGAGCAGACTAGAAACGGAGCAATATCGGAGCAGAAAAGAACTATCAAGTTACCTTACAAAAACCACCAGGATGCCCTATTATCTCCGGTATTAACTCAATTTCCTGTAGGTTATCTGAATATGTAGACCACATGCTCCTACCCATAGTACAAAAAAAGTCCTTCAAACAAATATTCTCCAAATTCTAAAAGATATAATTTGGCAGGATGACTTTCTATTAGTGACAGCATATGTCTCCTCTCTCCAGCATTAGACACGACTTAGGAATAAGAGCCACTAAACAATATTTAGAATTATCCTCTTTGTATCCAACAGAACAAATTGAATTTATTTTGTAGGCAATTAAACTTATCCTGGAAAACAACTACTTTTGGTTCCAAGGTAATTTTTACCTTCAGCAATGTGGCACAGCTATGGGCACTAAGTTTGCCCCCAGCTACGCTAACCTCTCTATGGCCCATTTGGAAGCTACCCATTTGGGGAAGGAAAGTGGCTGAGGGTCAAGCTTGGTGCTCTATAAGAGGTATAT